TTAAATAAAATATTAGCAAATAGGTTACAGCAACTCTTCATAAGAATAATACACTACAATCATGTAGGATTTATACCAGGAATGCAGGGCTGGTTCAATATTAGGAAAACTATCAGGATAATTGATTATATCAACAATAAAACTAACAGAAACCACATGATCCTCTCAATAGATGCAGGAAAAGCTTTTAACAAAATACAACACCCATTCCTATTAAAAAATACTAGAGAGATAGGAATAAATGGAGTCTTCCTTAAAATGATAAGTAGCATCTACCTAAAACCTTCAGCAAGCATTATATGTAATGAGGATAAGCTAGAAGCATTTCCAACAAGATCAGGGGTGAAATAAGGATGTCCATTATCACCACTGTTTTTCATTATGGTACTAGAAACATTAGCTTTAGCAATAAGAGAAGAAAAAGAAATTGAAGGCATTAGAATAGGCAAAGAAGAAACAAAGCTGCCACACTTTGCAGATGATATGATGATATATTTAGAGAACCCTAGAAAAGAAAGTGAAAAACTGTTTGAAATAATGAACAGCTTTAGCAAAGTTGCAGGTTATAAAATAAACCCACATTAATCATTGGCATTTCTATATACTGACAACAAAGCCCAATAGCAAGATATAGAAAGAGAAATTCCATTTAAAGTTACTGTAGACGTTATACAATATTTAGGAGTCTACCTGCCAAAACAAACCCAAGAACTATATGAACACAATTATACAACCCTTTTGACACAAATAGATATAAATAATTGGAAAAACATCAGTTGCTCATGGGCAGGGCAAGCTAACATAATAAAAATGACAATTCTCACTAAGTTAATTCACTTATTCAGTGCCACACCAAACTACCTAAAAATTATTTTATAGATCTAGAAAAAATAATAACAAGGTTCACTTGGAAGAACAAAAGGTTCAGAATATCAAGGGAACTAATGAAAAGAAATGCAGGGGAAGGTGACCTAGCCATTCCAGATCTTAAATTGTATTATGAAGCAGCAATCATCAAAACTACTTGACACTGGCTAAGAAATAGAATGGTGAATCAATGGAATAGGTTAGGTATGCAAGACACAGTAGTCAATGACTCTAGTAATCTACTGTTTGATAAATCCAAAGACTCCAGTTTCTGGGATAAGAGCTCACTATTTACCAAAACTGCTGGGAAAACTGGAAAAGAGTATGACAGAAACTAGGGATAGACCAAAGTCTTACGCCATATACCAAAATAAAGATAAAATGGGTACACAATTTAGATATAAAGGCTGATATTATAAGCAAACTGAGAAAGCAAGGAATAGTTTACCTGTCAAATTTATGGAGAACAGAAGAATTTATGACTAAACAAGAGATAGAGATCATTATGAAATGCAAAATGGATAATTTTGACTACATTAAATTGAAAAGTTTTTGTACAAACAAAGCCAATGCAACCAAAATTATGAGGCAAGCAGAAAACTGAGGAAAAAAATTTTACAACCAATGTCTCTGATAAGGGCCTCATTTCCAAAATGTATAAAGAACTAAGTCACATTTACAAAAATACAAGCCATTCCCCAATTGATAAATGGTCAAAGGATATGAACAGGCAGTTTTCAGAGGAAGAAATTAAAGCTATCTATAGTCATATGAAAAAATGCTGTAAAATCACTTTTCATTAGAGAAATGCAAATCAAAACAACTCTGAGGTATCACATCACACCTATCAGATTGGCTAACATGACAAAACAGGAAAATGATAAATGTTGGAGAAGACGTGGGAAAATTGGAACACTAATGCATTGTTGGTGGAGTTGTGAATTGATCCAACCATTCTGGAGAGCAATTTGGAATTACGCCCAAAGGACTATAAAAATGTGCATACCCTTTGACCCAGCAATACCACTTCTAGGGCTGTATCCCAAAGAGATTATATAAACGGGAAAAGGACCCATATGTACAAAAATATTTATAGGAGCTCTTTCTGTAATGGCAAAGAATTGGAAGTTGAACAAGTTGTGGTATATGAATATAATGGAATACTATTGTGCTATGAGAAATGATGAGCAAATGGACTTCAGAAAAACCTGGAAAGACTTGTGTGGACTCATGCTGAATGAAGTGAGCAGAACCAGGAGAACATTGTACACAGCAACAGCTATGTTGTGCAGTGACTAACTTTGATAGACTTAACTCTTCTCAGCAATGCAAGGATCTAAGAAATCTCCAAAAGTCTCATGATGGAAAATTCTATCCACATCCAGCGAAAGAACTATGGAGTTTGAACGAAGATCAAAGCATACTATTTGCTCCTTTTTAAATTCTGTTTGTTTTGTTTTGTTTCTTCTTTTTTGTGGTTCCTCCTATTGGTTCTAATTCTTCTTTACAACATGACTGATGTGAAAATATGTTCAATAGGAATATATATGTAGAGCCTATATGAGATTGCACACCATCTTAGGGAGGGAGGTGGGAAGGTAGAGGGAGAAAAATTTAAAACTCAAAAGATTATGGAATTGATTGTTAAAAACTAAAAATAAATTCATTAATTTAAAAAAAATTAATGAAAAAGAAAGAAAGAAAGAAAGAAAGAAAGAAAGAAAGAAAGAAAGAAAGAAAGAAAAAAGAAAGAAAGAAAGAAAGAAAGAAAGAAAGAAAGAAAGAAAGAAAGAAAGAAAGAAAAGAGTGGAAACCGCCACAGCTGCCAGTGATTCAGTCCCCTGAAGCTGGCTCCAGGAGCTACTGGGGTCACGTCTTTGCTTATGTGGCCCAAACTGTGCTCATCTCCCAGCCTGGCACAACATATCCTTACTGTCAATCATCTAGGTTGTCTTTGGCTGTTCCAAATTTGTTCCACATTTTTTTTTGTGGGTTCTGCTGCTCTAGAATTTGTTTAGAGTCATTTTTTACAGGTATTTGGAGGGGTTTGGGGGAGAACTCAAGCAAGTCACTGCTTTTACTCCGCCATCTTGTCTCAGCCAAAATTTTATTGAGATTTTAAAAATGAATTTCATTTGTAAAATTTTTGACAGTTATATAATGCTTTACAGTTTACAGGACATTGTATACCTGACTTCATTTGGTTCTTCCTATAACCCTGTAAGCTAGGCAGTTCAAGTAATAGTATCCTTATTTTACAAATGAGGAAACTAAAGCTCAGAGAGGTCAAATGACTTGCCCAAAGTCACATAGCTAGTAAGGGGTCAGAACCTTAGTCTTGCAGTACAGGCCTCCTCTTCTGATGTCCAATTCATGGCTATACTAGATTTCAAACAATTCCTTTGTATTTTTCTGTAACTATCACTGTTGCTCCTGGGTATACTGGGGTCTATCTAATAAGGACTGTTGGGAGGGTGAATTTTCTTTTGTAGAAATGAAAATATTTCTATAAAATCTTTTCAGACACTCTGACATACACCTGTGTTAGTCTCTGCTCAGCTGCATCAGACTGTCACTCATACTTCTATGAATCTCAGCTGTAGGGATCGGCTCTCATAGTCCTTTCCAATTCTCACAAGCTCTCTGAAACCTCTTTCAAAATACCTCTAATGCTTTCTCATTATTTGATCTCTGGCTCAGAAACAACTATTCTGATCTTCAAACCCTTCCCATGGGGAAATAAAGTTGAAATTGTGAAGAATTTCTTGTGAATATAAAGCAATGAATTCAGACTTTCCAATTTACTTTCAAAACCTAAGGCTTCTTTAATTTATTTACTTAAATTCATATAAGAAGTGAAGAAACCTACCAACATTCAAAAGCTGCCTTAGAGTTTTAGAGTGCAAAGAAAAGGACCTCATTTCTTAAGTTGGGAAACTGGGACCTAGCAATGTTAAGTGATTTGTTTTACAAAATCATGGCAGTCAGGACTAGAAACCACTTTTTTGACTCCTAATCTTTTATTCTGTCCATGGCAAGGCACTTCCAAGATGCTTGATCTTTATTCTTTGGAAGGTTACCAGCTGTTTGAGTGGAGATATTTTAGTCATGAGTTACCATGCTTAATAAAGAACAGAACAAAACAAAATGGGGGAGATTTTTTTTGTCTTTTTAGCCTTCCTAAATGAATGTTGGTTTCTCTAGGCAACATCATTTATTTCACTATTCTGGATGTCTTTTTCAAATCAAATCATGTACTTTAAGCCCAGGGATTTGGAGCCTAGGACTCAGAAGGCAGCTTTGTGGCCTTCTCTGTGCCATCCAGGCTCCACCTCTCCATGGAACTCAAGTTCTCATCTCTGTAATGGGGGCTGTCTGGTGAGCATTCACTTTATCTCACCTAGATCCAGATCCACCAAGTGACACAACAGCCATCTTCATGAACACCTCCTACCGCCTTCCTCTGCCCTTCCTCCACTTAATCAAAATGACCATTTCTAGTAAGAACTGTCAACCTACTCAGGTCCCACTTATTCAAAGTAGTGATCATCGTGTTCTCAGTATTCTCTGCCTGCTCAAATTATTTTAGATTTATATTAGATTATTTGTATTCATATTTATTTCTCTATTTACATATTGCACTGCTAGTCCTTCAAAGTAGACCCATTTTTCTTTTTTGTCTTTAAATTCCCAGTACCTAGTATAGTATTTTGCCCATAGCAACCTACTGGTTATAAGGAAGGAGTAGAGAGCACTGCTGCTCCCCAAAAAGAAAAGGAGCTGCTCCCCCATCCCATAGACTACCCCAGAGAGACCCCCTTATCTCCACAGACGCACCCAACAGGTCAAGCCAGCCAAGGAAGCCAGAGCTCTTCTGCGATTTGATGTCCCCCTATTCCTGGCTAGGCTTCAAGGGCATGCTCCTCTAGTAATAAATTTGAATTGAAAAATGAATTAAATTGGATTGAAGCAGGAGTCTTCTTCCTGTGCTGGTAAAACTTCAATTCAATCCAATAAATATTTATTAAGCACCGACGATATGCCGACAATATGCTAAGCACTAGGAATAGAAAAAGAAGCAGAAATCAGTCGTTGCCCTCAAGGAGCTTACAATCCAATGGGGGCGACAAATTTTTAAAAATACATTTACATTTATATATTTTATATATACACGTATACATGTATATCTTCATAGCTACATACATATCTTGACATCAAATTTATACCATACTATAATGGTTCCAACTTAGGAGTCCAAAGCCTGTGGGTGATTTTGAGAACACAAACACACCAATCCATATCGTGGTGATATTTATTTAGCTCCAGCGATGTGCAGGAGTAATCACTGTAATAAGGCAACACCGGAATCCACGGGATAAATGACGTCACACAAAGATGGCATCGTTTTTCCGATGCACCTTCGGGCGGTAAGGCTCCATAGTCCTTAGCTGAGGCAGAGCCCAGAAGCAGCGCCGCCGCTCCCCCCCCACACACATACCCGTCGCACATCTGGCCAGCTGGTAAAGTCCCAGCAGCGGCCGCCCGGAGGCAGCATGAGCCCAGGGAAGCGCCGGCGTGTCTCCTCCCGGGCTTCAGTCTCCAGGCTCGGGCGCGCTCCTTCTCCCAACCAGGTCGCCCAGCTCCAGGGGCGGATCCCACCAAGAACCTATTGGGTGGAAGGAGGGGTAAAGAGCCCCGCTGCCCGGCCTCCCGCCCCTAAAAGAAAAGGAGCGTGACGCGCTGCCCATCGAGACCCCGGGTCTGCCCAGAGCCACCACCATGCCGAGCCTGCCGAGGAAGCTGGAGCTCTTCTACGATGTGCTGTCCCCCTATTCTTGGCTAGGCTTCGAGGTGACGCTCCGAGGGAAAGGGGACATGGAGGTGGGGGCTTAGGGCCGAAGAAGACAGGGGCGCTGGGACCGTGGCTAGTCCTGGACCAACTCTGAATCTCCCAGCTGCTGAGGAGCCTGGGTTTGCGATGAGGAGGTGGAGCAAGGGAGGTCAGGGCTGAGAGGTGATGAGGAGAGAAGCAATGAGGCTGCTATCTCCTACTCTGAAATAAAAAAGAAAAAGAAAAGAAAACCGGAAATCGTGTGTCCCACCCCCCACATCCCCCACTACCTTTGCCTGTTGACCCACTGTCTTCATAGACAGATAGCAGCCTCCTTCTTCCTACATGCCACTCAGCCATCAGAAGGACAGTCCCAACCTCTCGATCTCTTGGGAACAACTCAGGGGAATGATGAGAGGGAAGAGTCAGTCCCTGGCCAGGAGAGAAGATTGGTTTCCAGGCCCCTGGATGGCACATGGCCTGACTTGGATAAGCTCACAAAGACCAAAATAGACTGTGCCAACTTGAACCAAAGATCTCCAGCCCTGCCCTAGGTGGCCCATGCCAGGGGCCAGGGATTAGGAATACTCCTGTTTCAAATGGCCCCTGCACATGTTCTAAAAGCCCACACACAGCTCACAGTGGTTTTGGTCTCCCCTGGCAAGTCCTATGTTGCCATCAGAACATCTGTAACATCAGCCTGAAGCTGCAGCCAAGTTTCCTAGTAGGAATAATGAAGGACAGTGGTGTGGAGGAATACTGAGGGAAAGTGTGTGGTGGTCAGAGAACCTGAGTGCCCATAAAGTTGTAAAAAAAAAAAAAAAGAGAGAAGGGTCAGCCCAAAAGGTCTGGGCCCTGTGGCTTTCTTATGTTTCTGGACTCAGCTAAAAAATGTCTCTCCCCAAAATCTTCAATGGCCTACTAGAATGAAAATTCCTTGAGAGCCCAATTATTTCTTTTTACATCTCCACAGATTAGAACTTTATCTTGCACAAAAGAACTACTTAATAAACATTTGCAGAATTGAATTAAATGACTTACCTGCAGGGAACCTACCACCTCTTTTAGTACCTCAAAAAAAGAAATACCTGATGGATGAACTCCAGCAGTTGGCAGAATTTTTACCAAGTTCCGCTTGTGATTCCCAGAGATCACCGAGTAGTGATAATAGACAAAGGTGGAAACCTTGTGTGTTTGTGTGGGTGGATGGAGGGAAGGAAAGGAATGAAGATGGAGCATGACAGGGCAATGGGCTAGGAGAAAGAAATAGTGGGCCAAAGAAGAGGCTTGAGTGGCTAGGGCTTAGCAAGAAGGGCTCTAGGGGTTACTGAGAGGTAAAACATGTTCGAAGTATGGAAAGAACTTAAACAGAGAGTTGCAGAAAAAATACTAGGGAAAGGGAAATAATAGAAATTATAAGGGATATATATATAAATATATATGTTATGAGTATATAAGGGATAGATGACAATAAGAAAATGTGATTCCAGTGACCCAGAGGCTAAAGACTTTCCTGGAAAAACAGGAAAGTCAATTTTATATATTATGCATATAATATGAGAACAATATAATCATTATAATAACTATGACAAAATATAATTATAGAATAAATATTGTGTGTATATATATATGTGTGTGTGTATATATATATATAATATATATATGTATATATATAATATATATATATATATAATATATATATATATATATATATATATATGAAAGAGAGGAAATAATGTCATAGGAAAAGAGTGTGTTATACCAAATTGGCTTCTGGACTCAAAGTCTGGAGGGACCTGGGTTCAAATTCTTCCTCTTTACACTTAATACATGTTGTGACCATGAAAAAGTCACTTAACCTCTCTCTAACCTCCAGTTTCTTCATCAGTAAAATGGTGCTGATAATACCTAGAATCCTACCCCATAGTGTTGTTGTGAGCTTAAAATGTAGTAATGAACTTTGGAAACCTCACAGTGCTGTATAAATCTGTTACTATTTTCTTTATTATTATTATTATTTATTATTATTATTATTCATTTTCCACACATCTCTGGCTTCTTTCCTCCAGGGAGCCTTGCTGCCATGCAATTCCTCAGTTCTGTCGAAATGGAGAAGCCTGAGATGTTGGAGAAAGTGTCTAGGGAACTGTGGATGCGCATCTGGTCACGGGTGAGGTGCTCAGAAATTCCACCCACCTTACCTCCCCAACTCTTAGGTTCTACTCTCTAAAATTTCCCTTTTGTAGACGGTAAATAGATCCAATTCTTGTGACTCTGTGCCTTTATAGTACTCCATCAGATTGATTTACATAGCACCAATATTGTCCCTATACCTATATCCATAGTCATATATATCCCCTCAACATACCCTGTCAATCTTTCTTTTGACTCCCCAACTCTGCATTCTATCCATTATTCCCAGGATGAAGATATCACAGAATCCCAGAGCATCCAAACTGTAAGTATTGCAGCTCTGCCCCTATTGCCCTTAAACAAAGTCTGGAGTTGTTAGGGGACCAATGAGGGTCATTTTTCTTAGGTGGAAGATAACATTGTGTTCTGGGGTGGTAAAGTGTGTGAGAAGCAGGACACAAATGCCTAAAGAGTAGAGGCCAGGAAGGCTTGGAGGTAGGAGATACCAACAGAAAAATCTCTGCAGAAATCACAGTTGGAATTCATCTGAAAAGACACCCCAGTGGCAAAAAGGAGAGTGGCAGTGGAGTGTGTAGGAAGACTCAGACAAGTAGAGGGAAGACGTCCAGTAGCTTCTTGGAGAAGGGAATGCTCATCATGTTAAAACCTAAACAACAGATTATATTCATTGAAGTGAAGTAAGAAGCCAGTCTTTAACCAGATTGAGTCAAACTCTAGGGTCTACAGAGCTTTAGGGTTTATGAGCACTTTCCTCAAAAAAACTCTGCAAACATTATCCCCATTTTCAGATGAGGGAACTGTGAGAGAAGCATTCAAATACCTTGGCCTGAGTTCCACAGCTAGTTAGTGGTAGAAGCAGGATTCAAACCCAGCTCCTTGAATCCTAGAAGAGCCTTCTTTTCATTTGGCCACTATTAGCCTTTGCTCATGTTTAAGCATTAAAGTGTCTTGATTCTTTCTTGACAGTTCTGGGCTTAGAGCAGAGGGGATCAGGGACTGTAGGAAGGGCTCCCATCTGTTAGACCAGGGTTTATGATAGACCTCCAGGTCAGTTGCTCTGTTCCTCATTATCTGGCCCTCTTCTCCACCTTTTGACTTTTCTCTAAAGTTTGAGGACCATTGGAATAAGGGGGTGGCAAAGATGTTAGAAAGAATGGTCCTGAACTAAGAGTTAGGAGACCTTTGTAACTCTGTGTCAAAATCTTTAGCCTTGGGCTAGTAATTTTCCTCCTCTAGGCCCTGGCTTCCTTATCTCTTAAAAGATGGAGTTGAACTAGACATTCTCTCAGGTTTTGAGTAGCCCCAAAGTCCAGTGGAAGGAAATAGGCACCTTATTAGGATGATTTCAGAGGGCAAAACAAGAGATAGAAGGAAAGCTATTTAGATATATATATATATGTATATGTATATGTATATGTATATGTATATGTATATGTATATGTATATGTATATGTATATGTATATGTATATGTATATGTATATGTATATGTATATGTATATGTATATGTATATGTATATGTATATGTATGTGTATGTGTGTATGTGTATATATGTATACATACACATACACATATATATATACACACACATACACATATATATATATACATACACATACACACACACACATATATATATATATATATATGGATCTGACTCAGGACTAAAGAGTATGTGTATATATGTGTGTACATGTGTATATATACACTTACATACATACATAAAACACACACACACACATGCTTTATTTCTGAGGTCCATGATCAGGAAGAGTTGATTTCTAGAAGTTAATCCTCCCACCCCACTCTACTATGGTCTTTCATCTACGTCACTTCCACAGGCTGCAGAAAAGGCAGGACTTTCTGAAGAAGTGGCTAAGTGCCTACTGGAAAAGTGTTCAACTGAAGAGGTGAAGAAGAAACTAAGAGAAACCAAAAATACAGCCTGCAAATATGGGGTGAGGAGCCTTGGTCCCCCATGTCCCAAACACAGCTTATGGTCCTTGAAGACACTGGGTAAGGAATTCTGATACACCTTAGAATTTATTTCCACAAGCATACCTTCCCAATATGACTCTTTCCCATTCCTCATCAGTATTAGTCAACTAATAAACTCAAGGGAAGAAAGAAAAGGAGAGAAATAGATAGGGAAAGAAGGGATGAGATAGAGAGGGACTGATGTTAAGAGACAGAAAGACAGAGACTCTCCTGCCTATCTCCTGTGTGATCCTTTGCAATCTGCATTGATACTAGATCCCTTAGCCCCGCTTCCTGTCATCAGTCTAAGTCAACGTTGACTCCCACCCTCCACTGTCCTCTTCCTTGTCTCTCCTGTATTGTACTATGATCACTTTTTCTCCAGACCTTTGGGCTTCCCATCATAGTGGTCCATGTGGATAACCAGTTTGACATGCTCTTTGACTCTGACAGGATGGAACTGCTGGCTCATCTGCTAGGTGAGTTGGAGATACTTTCCCCTTACCATTGCTATGATAGTTCTTGCCCCACAGCCCTGCCTACCTGCCAAACTTACCACTGAGGAAGATGTTAGAGGTAGCAGGAATTCCTGAGCAATAAATTTTCATTAAGTTTCCAAGAGGTAGAGCCTTGTACTGGACACTTCAAATGGGAACAGGCTCTGTCTTAAAAAGTGGAAGCAATTTCTGTTGTAAGAAAACCATGTATATTGTAGAAGATATGGAAAAACCATCTGCTCCTTAAACCAAGAATGGCTCCTTTCCAGAATTCCCTCGGTCCTTGTGGGAAAGAAAAGGGGTAAGGGAAGAGAATAGTGGATTAGCACACTTTGCCTAGGCCCCAGGTGCTCCCTTCCTTTAGGACTGTGTGTAGAAGGTACCTGGTTTTCTCCTTCCAGGAGAACAGTGGCAGGGCCCAGTGCCCAGCACTGTGAAAGGCAAACTCTGAGCACTTACAGAAGAAGAGGAGCTGCTTAACCCTAGGAGCCAGACCCTTCCTCCTCACAACACTCCCATCAAGGAATCCAGGATGCTGGGGCTCTGCATTCCCATATTCTCAAGTTTGGGGGATTTTTGGCTTGGTATCCTGAGCTTGCAGTCCTGGGATTGTCCTATTCCTACTGCTCACAAATAAGTGCCTTAGGTAGGGCCCCAACCTTCATTTTTCAACCAAATAAACTCCCCATTGGAATAGATATTGGTGTGCCTGTCACCATCTTGTGTGTTGGTGTATTCTTGATTCTATATCTGTTCTTTTTTGGAGTTAATGAAAAGAAAATCCACTGCAATTTCCTAGCCTCTATGCCAAGGGAGACAGAAAAATGGCAAGTAGGAAAATCATCCATTATACAGATGAAGAAACTAAGGCTGGCAGTAGTGACTTGCCCAAAGTCACATAACTAGGCATCTGCAAAGCCAGGATTTCTATCTTTTGAACATCTTCAGTGGTGGCAAATCTTTGTTCTTTGACAATGATGTAAGTTATGGAAACAGCTGGAAATAATTTGTTAGATGAATACAGGTCCCTTCTACAATTCATCTTTTAGTAAACCTGCCAGAGTATACTAGGCTTGCTCAGCCATTGATCTAAGACTGTGCCAACTATAGTGAAAGGTGAAATACTCTAGGCCAAAGTGGGGCTATGCCTGAGCCTGGACTGAATTTAGGAACTGACCAGTGTGAGCTCAGGACTCCTAAACCCAGAAGTGATAAGCTGGGAATTGATTAGTTTCTAGCTAGAGATATTAGATTATGTTACTGACTAGAAGATGAATAATAGCTTTAAGATCACAATTAATGCAGAGTTGGAAAGTTCTTCAGAAGTCATCTAGTTCAGCCCCTATCTAAACATGAATTCCCTATACCTCGTGTCCTATAAAAGGTCTGTCAGAGCACCAAGAAGCCACCTTCAGAAACACACAGTGCTTGGCAGCTACCACAATAAAATAGAGGAGAGCTTGGAATGTGATATTCCAGGGCTAATGAAAAAGGCTCACAACCAGGGGTGTGCTGGAGCTAGCTCTGACAGTTGATTGTTAACTTTTCGGCATGAATATTTATGCATCAGAAATCAGCCATCACCACAAATCAGTACTTGATTTATTGTTTTGTTGATTTTCTAGACTTATGAAAATGTCAATAATGCATATTAAATTTAAAATGTATATACATTCTTTTTTTTCCGGAGAGCACAGTTGTTAAATATTTACCAGCACACCTCTGTATTACTCTATAAACATTGCTTGAGCTCAATAAGAGTGTAATAGTAAGCTCAAGGAATGAAATAAGTCATCAATAGACTAAAAGCCTTGTGACTGGAGGCTAATAATATTAATAAGCATTGCAATAGTTCTTTAAGATTTGCAAAGTGTTTTGCATCCATTATCTATCTCATTTGACTCACAACACCTCAGCTTACTACCAAGAATAATCTATTTGGCAAAACTGAACATAATCTTACAGAGGGGAGGATGGAGCTTTAATGAGATATAGAACTACCAAGAATTCCTCATGAAAAGGCAAAGATGAGTAGAAACTTTGAATTGCATATACAGGAGTCAAGAAAAATATAAATTTATTTTATAAACTGGAAGAAACTCTGATGAATTGTTTGCATTCAAATAGAGGAAAAGAAACAAGTGTTGTCACATTCCTGTCTTCAAGGGTCATAGGGAAAGTTATATAAAACAAGCCAAGTGACCGGAGGTGTTCTATTTGGATGGTTCTTAAAAGAAGACAGAATGGGAGGGAAATGGGAATGAATGAGGAGGAAAAAAGGAGGAAGAAGAAAGAACTTACACTATCACAAATAATAAGAGTGAATAATAAGGTGAAGTGTATAAAAATGTGTGGCAAAGGTGGGAAGAATGAGTATCCCATCAGCCTCCCTTTCATCTCCACTGGACAAAGGAAAGTTGAACACACACACACACACACACACACACACACACACACACACACACACACACACACACACACATACCAAGAGTTTGGTATGGAAAAAAACATTCAACTCAATAAGAAAATAGGTAGAAATAGAAGAATGAGGTGAGATTTAAGAGGAATAAGCAAAACAAACTCCCAACATTGAAATATATTGTGAAGTAACGAAAGGGAATGTGGAAAAATTAGGAAAAATAAACATAAGAGACTATAGTAATAACAAAAATAGTTTCAAAAACATAATTATGTCAATAGAGGATGAAAAAGTTTTTTTACAAAGTTCAACACCCATTTCTATTAAAATACCAAAAAGTAAGAATAATTGGACCTTGTGTTAGTGTGGTAAGTTATCTATCTAAAATCCAAAAATAAAAATAAATAAAATAAAATCCAGAACCAGCATTGTATGTCATAGAGAAAGATTAAATTTAGGAGTATCTGCAAACACTATAGCGTGAGAAATCTTAGCTATAACAGTAAGACAAAAATATTGAGAGAATAAGCAAGAGCAAAGAGGAAACAAAACACTGACTTTTACAAATGACACTTTGATTATTTAGAGAATCTGAACGAGTCAACTAAAAAGACATTTGGCACAATAACCAGAAAAGTATCAGGACGTAAAATAAGCCCACCCAAATTATTAACACCTCTGTATATTACTAACAAAACCCATCAGGCAAAGTAAAGGAATTCAAATTCAAAGTAATTACAGAATGCATAAAATATAAATAAATCTACCTACCAAGACACACACAGAAGTACAACTACAAAACACTGTTCGCAGAAATGCACAGACCTAAGTAACTAGAGAAACACTAATTGCTTGTGGTTAGGCCATGACAATAAAATAAAAATGACAATGATATTTAAATTAATTTACTTTATTCTGTACCATAGCAAACTACCAAGCAATTACTTTTTAAATTTTATTTGTATTCCAAAGTTGACAAATACCTCTCAAAAAAATGAACATTTCCATATACTTATAAGAAGAAAAGAAGACTGGATGTGCAATTGCAAATATGTTACATAGAGCTTGTTTTTCTTTTTAAGTATGCAATAAATTCATCATGTTGCTTTTAAACCTTTCTTGCTTCGATTATCTTTGTATTTCTTCCCCCCTTTTTTTAGGGAGAGGGCATCATGGAAAATCCTACAACTTCCCTCATTTTCACCTCATCCCTCCTCCCAAAATTTTTTGCCAGATCTTACAAAGTCATGGCATAACCTTAAAGAACCTTGAGTAACTCCATACCATGGTGAGGTGTATAGCTTAAAAAAAAAAAAGATTCAGTTGAACTGAGTTGAAGTACAGATAAAATTTTTTGACTCCATGCACATCACTCTGCAACAGAAAACTCCCTAGGATGTGTAGCTACTTAATCATAGTGTGTTCCCTATGCTGATGAAATCTCTGATCCCTTATGGTGTCATGCACTCATCATCACTCAGTCAGTCATTAAGCATTGTTTAGCTTTCTACTGTTCAGTCATGTCGGATTTTTCATAACCCAATTTGAGGTTCTCTTGGCAAAGACACTGGAGTGGTTCACCATTTCCTTCTGCAGCTCATTTTACTGATGAGGAGACTGAGGCAAACAGTGTTAAATGACTTGCCCAGAGTCACACAGCTGGTAAGCGTCCAAGGGCAGATTTGAAATCAGAAAGATGAGTCTTTCGGACTCCAGGCCCAGCATTCTATTCACAGTGCCACTTAGCTGCCTATTGTTTAAGCATCTACTATATGCCAGGCATTTTCTAAGTGTTGAGGACACAAAGGTAAGGTTTACCACACTTTTTCTTCACTATACTGTGAGGTATGCAGCATAAGTTTTATAAGGTGTTTCATTTTGTGTTTTACTGGCCCTGTGATTTTATCAGTAGAGGGAGCTCCCAAAGGGTGGAAGGAGGAGTAAAAAGCACCCCTGCCCTCCCCTTCCCCCCTAAAAGAATAAGGGCATGGCCCTCTGCCCATTGAGACCCTGGGTCTGCCCAGGGCCACCACCATGTTGAGCCTGCCGAGGAAACTGGAGCTCTTTTACTATGTGCTGTTCCCCTATTCTTGGCTTGGCTTTGAGGTAACACTCCGCCCCAGCAGAGCCAGCGATAGATGGATAGATATTTAGGTAGATATGCATTATGTATATGTATATATGTGTGTATGTGTGTGTATACATACATACACACACACACATATATATATGGATCTGGCCCAGGAATAAATATATGTGTGTGCATTTTTATATATATATACACACATATATTTATATATTTATATATATATATATATACACACATATATTTATATATATATAATACACACATATATACATACATACATACACACAACACACACACGCGCACACACACACACACTTTATTTCTGAGGTCCATGATCAGGAGTTGACTTCTGGAAGTTAATCCTCCTACCCCACTCTACTATGGTCTTTCACCTACCTCACTTCCACAGGCTGCAGAAAAAGCAGGACTTTCTGAAGAACAGGCTAATTGTCTACTGGAAAAGTGTTCAACTGAAGAGGTGAAGAAGAAACTAAGAGACAGCAAATACAGCCTGAAAATATGGGGTGAGGAGCCTTGGTCCCCCATGTCCCAAACCCAGCTTATGATCCTTGACGACACTGGGTAAGGAATTCTAATAAACCTTAGAATTTATTTCCACAAGCACACCTTCCCAATATGATGCTTTCCCATTCCTCACCAGTATTAGTCACCTAATAAATGCAAGGGAAGAAAGAAAAGGAGAGAAATAGATAGGGAAAGAAGGGATGAGACAGAAAGGGACCAACGTTAAGAGACAGAAAGACAGAGACTCTCCTGTCTATCTCCTGTGTGATCCTTTGCCATCTGCATTGATTCTGGGCCCCGTAGCCCACTTCCTTTTACCAATCTTAAGTCAACATTGACTCCCACCCTCTTCTTCCTTGTCCTTTCTGTACTGTACTGTGATCACTCTTTCTCCAGGCCTTTGGGCTTCCCACAATAACGGGAAATCCCACATGCTCTTTGGCTCTGACAGGATGGAACTGCTGGCTCATCTGCTAGGTGAGTTGGAGACATTTTCCCTTACTATTGTTAAGACATTCCTTGCCCCACAGCCCTGCCAACCTGCCAAATTTACCACTGAGGAAGAGGTTAGAGGAAGCAAGCATTCTTGGGCAACACATTTTCCTTAAGTTTCCAGGAGGCAGAGC